GAAACTTCAGAACAGCAGAAATTCAGAGTACATATAAAAGTATCTAGAAAGGAATGATAGGCCACATACAAAGGAACAGGATTCACAATAGCATGTAATATCTGAACAGCAGCTGTGGAAGCTGAAAGACCATGGAGCAATGCCTACAAATGTCTGAAGAAAAAATTTTGTCCTCAGACATATTATCAATTGAGTGTGAAGTAGAATTAGGTATATTTCCAGACATGCAAGCCCAAAATTTTACCTCTTCTGCACCTTTTCTCATGAAACGAATGGAAGATGGACTCTACCAAAACAGGAGAAAACCAAAGGAGGAAGATATGGAATTCAGCAAAAGGGAAGATAGAAAGATAAGTTTCAGGACAAAAATAATGGATGGGAAGCTAGAAGCTAGCATCAGGGTTTAGAAAACAACTGATTCAGATTGAAGCAAGGAAAAGAAGCCTACAAAGAAAAAAAGAACTGAAAGATTTTTTTGATGTGTTCGGCCATATGAAGAATAATTTGGAACATTTAGAAAAAATTAGACATAGAAAACTAAACAAATGCAAATGTGAAGCAATTCAAAATTCTTGGGACGAGAGCAAGGTAGGAAGTGGCATAGAAAGGAAATGTCATAGTACATTACTTGGCTCGGCAGTGAACGGTTATTTACATAATTATGTAAAACACTGGATATTGTTACAATTCTTGTTTGCAAATAAAATTTATAATACCATTATATTATGAAATATGTGGAGAGGAAAGGTGAGAAAGTGTGAAAAAAGAGCTCAATTATTATTTATCATAAGTTGTCAACACATAACAACCCAAATCTATAAGGCAAAAAAATATAAGTATAAGCCAATGTGCTGATAATTTTCCCTGTGCCCTCAGGTGTATTTCCACCCTTTCCACACTGCTCTGTGCCTCAGAAGGCTGATCTCTTCAGAATGTGTCATCTGGGCTCCTTGTCTTTGGCTTCCCGTTGGGTTTGCTTAATGGGATGTATTGGTGGGAAACGGGAGGACAAGAACAGGCAGAAAGTGGTCTGTTGGTTTCTTCAGCTTCTACCTTCCCACCAAAACTGGGCAGTGACTGCATTCATCCACCAAAGGCCATAGTTCCAGTGCTTACTGGGTTCTGGTAATTGATTCCCCAAACTTTGCCCCTTTTAATCCTAGAGTTGGTAATGTGTACCCTACTATTGTTAGTTTCACTACTACCAGTCCCAAGTAGTTTAGCATTGCTTGCTGGTTCCTTAACTTGACCTACTCCTTTGTAAATTATTTATTCTTTAAACTTCTTTAATCACTCCGTTTTCAGTAGACCATCTGTTTCTGTAGGGACCCTGAACAATATAGCACATGAATTAGAATATCACAATTAAAGCTTTAAGAAATCATTAAGAACTTGTCAAGTATTTACCTCTAAGGAGACTCATGGTAGGGAAGGATAAGACAGAAAACTATTGTGAATTCTTTTAAATATATTTCATATAGGCCTTTACTATTATTTGACCTTTAAATTGCAGACATGCATTATTTTATAAAAGTAAAAAATTATTAACTAACTATAAAAATGGTAATTTAAAATATTAAATCAGCTGAAAAATGCTATATAGCAAAAAATGGATGAGATTATATATAGATAGATAGATAGATAGATAGATATTTTTTAGATAGGTAAGCGAAATTGAGAGAGTAAAGAGTGGCTAAAAGGGAGGGAGAAGAAGAAGAAGGGAGAGAGAACAATTTTAACAGTGGTTAGTGGTTAGTGGTTAGTAGGATTTCAGCTAGGGTGTATGTGTCAGTGTGTGGTCCATGTTTTCTTCATTGTGCATTATGTTTATGTTTATAATAGGATAAAAATAAGTGTGGGGGAGATTAACTTTCAGAAATGGTGGTGAGAAGAGGAGAAATGGCTCTGCTGGTGAATGGATAAACAAACTATAGAATACTACTCAGCAATAAAATAGAGTGAAGAACTGAGATTTGTGTTAAAAGACAAGCTGATGCATGTTAAAAATTATAACAGTGTATTTGAGCAAAAATCAATTCAAATCAGACAGCACCAAACGAAGTGGTTAAGGGTGCTCCACCAATAGGAGCGAGGAGCAAAATGTGTATAGAGACTATTTGGTTGGCTATTGGCTTACCTTACTTGAGAAAGCCTGGTTGAGTGTGTGTGACTGGCTGTCCTTGGGTTTCTATTTCTTACCCTTGAGGCATTTACAAGCTTAGGTTTCAGTTTGCTTACACAGGTTACCAAGGCATTAAAGCCACCTCAGTCTAATAACCTCCTTATTTAATTAATTTAACTATGTAATAACGTGGATGAATCTCAAACGTATTAGACTAAATGATCAAAACCAGACTCAAAAGACTACATAATCTACGATTCCACTGATATGATATCTAAAAGGAAAAAGAACAGGACTAGAAATCAGAGTAGTAGTGTTTGCAAGGGGTTAGAGTCATTTTATAGAGAGAGTCTACGTAAACTGTTATCTTGATTGTAGTGGTGGTTTACGGGACTATATATCTGTCTAAACTCATAGACTGGTATACCAAAAAGAGTGAATTTTTCTGCATGCAAAATTTTAAAAGTAAATTTAATGTTTTAAAAAATTTGGACTAAATGAAAGTCAATGAGCTTCTTATCTTCTCATGTCACTTGAGTAGATATGTTTTTCCATGTTTTCTGCCTATGGTCAGTCATCAAAACCAAACCAATTAAGCTTTGTTTATTTTGTTAACTCCAAGTGATTTGCAGCAGAAAAATAATATGCCAATCATTAAAATCCAGAGATAATCCGAAAGCACAATTTGAGCTTCTCTTTACCGTCTCTGATCTAACACTCAAAACCTCTTTCCAGAACTGCCAAGGAGGCTTGATTGAGCTTCAGCATCATGTCCAGACCTCCCAGGTGGGGCCATTAATAATCAGTGAAATGGCCCAAAACGAGAGCACTGAAAGGAACATGAGTTTTTAAAAATCTGCTAACTGCAGTGTCAATTTCAGAACAATAGGAACTGAATAGAAAGGCCTTGGTACCACCTTCCCTGTCTCACACACCTACCACACTCTGAAGCAGAAATCTACGCCCTGACAACCATCTCCTGATACTATGTAACCCTGAGGAGGAACGGATGAGGCTGGCTGAGCCTGGAGCTGTGCTTATTGTAATC